TTAAAGTTACTCTTATTTCACCGGCAGCAAATTTTATGACAAGTAAGAAAATATTTTCCATTTCATTTCAATTATCTTGCCAGAAACTGGTGGAAAAGTCGTTATGCCACCGCATAAAGAGGAGAGAAAGCCAGGACGCAGTGGTGATTGATTGTCATGGATTATATTTCTTACTTTAATGTGTCTGCAATGTGAGGGGACGGTGAGACGGATTAGCTTTTGGAGGAGCTCCTGCTAACTGGATTGGGCTCCTTTATTCCCAGCTCATCAGACAGATGCTGCTGTAAGTGCTGAGCACGCTGGGTGCGGCAGCAAGGCTGCACATCTCCCATACATCTCTGCCCACTGCTGCCCAGCATCTTGGCAATTCTGCCAAAACCCTCTTTATTGTCACATATCCCAAGCAAATCACTTAGCCTTGAAGCCAACAGCCTGTGCAGTGCTCCTCATCTTCCTCCCCTTTGAGTTTCCATGCTCATCCAGGAGGCCCTGCTTTGCACCTTGGCACCAGCGGGTTTTGCCGGCTCTCAAGAACATCTCTGAAATTCCCATGCACAGCCAAGGCAGTCTCTTTCCCACAGTGGCATCTCCTCTCTCCACCTTGCCCCATACCAGAGCACACCAGCCCAGCCAGGCTGCCCTCCTGCCAGGCAGAGGAAGCACCCCGCTCGCCAGAAACTTCGTCTTCTTATCAGGAAATAGAAATAAATACCCCCAAAATAAAAGAGAAAGCAATAAAAACCATATGTGCCTCCAGGCTCCTGCCAAGATGGTTATAAAGTCTCTACTGTTCCTCAAAAAACAGGGTGCGTGCCAGCTGTGGGGGAAATAGGCTGTTAACCCCTGGAGGGGAGGTTTTCTCCGAGCCAGTGGTGCAAAGCCATTGTTGCAGCCTCAGAAATGTTACCTAGAGCGGCCCTCGGCATCCCCACGGCGGGCACTGGTGGAGGATGGAATCCGTCAGTATTTCTGAAAGCCCTTCACAACGCCCAACAGGCGGGTGAGCGAAGCATGAGGTCACAGGAAAACGAAGATGTTCCTGCAATGAAGCTGCACGCTGATGCTCCTGGCATCCAGCATTGCCGCATCCTCTGCAGCCATAGGGCAGCGGCTTCTCCAGCTGGCCCGGGAGTCCTCTGGGAAAAAGCAGGACAGCAGAGGCTGGAAGTTCCTAATGCTCAAAAATATAAACCAAGGGGAATTAAACTCTTTAAAGAACAAGAAGGCCTTTGAGCTCCTTTCACACAACTGGAGAGTGGAAAAAAATCTTTAAAGATTGTTCCTCCAAGGGGTGGCCTTGAACATGGTTCTTGCCCTCTGCACAGCAGGATCTGCACCGGCCGGCACAGCCAGCAAGTGAAGGTGATGAGTCAGCTAACGAGGGGCTCGTTGCGGCCTCACAGGGGGACATACTTCAACAATTCACGAGCAAGTGTCATCTTTAGCTCTATAAAACATCTCACAGCTCTCTGAGCAGCACAGAGCCAGCAAAGCCCAAATGGGTTAGCTGGCCACTGCACTGGAAAAAGTAATTCTTCGTAAACGGAGAGGCACTCGAACGTAAGGTGCCACCTGGGATCCTACCCTTCTAGAAATGATTTATGGCACTGTGCACATTTTGTCAGTCAAAACTGGTGGCCTTCCAGCCATTTTAGGCTCCAGGCTATTTTTACCATACCATAAAATCCATTGACAGCTATATATCTTTATAAAAGCCTCCTGCTGACTAACAGAAGATGCTCATGGCTGCCAAGGCTCTTCTAACTTTTAAGCAGGGGTAAAGGTACCTGGCAGTCACCGCCTGCACAGTCAGTTCTGTGCCCAGGCTTCCTCCAGCAGTTGCAAAATGAGGGATGTGGATGCCGAAAACATTGCTAAGAGGCTTTGAACCCCCTGATGGGGAGGGATGTGCAAGAACTAGGTGACTGTGAAAGGGGAGTTAGGTTGGGACTGCAGGCAGAGCCCCTGCGACTCGCCGGGGCATTGCTGCAGGGCCAGAGTGCTCCTTCCCCAGCCCCACTGCCATGCTGGGGGACAAACAGGGCTTTCCCATCCCTGTGCCTCCGTCACTCCCGACTGCCCTGTGGACTTGAGGGGTTTTGCACAAGTCCTTTGCTTCTGCATGGCACCATTTGATTTGGGAAACGAGACTGCCCAAGGCTCGCCAGCTCTCACCGCGCCAGCAGGATCATTTTTGTGCTTCAAATAGCATCTGCCACTACTCATCCTTTAAGGGTCAGGCATCCGCAGAGACTGGAGGGCTGCCGGGCTGGCTGAGTGCGGTGAGCACCTGTGAGGAGGAGAGGGCTGCTTCCCCTGGCGCTGCTCGCCCCAGCTCCCCGCGGGGATGAGTGCCGACCCAGCTCCCTGCGGGGATGAGCACCGACGGGAAGCCGTCTGCTACGCCCTGAAGCTCTTCAGCAACCCTCGAGGAGGTCTTTAATCTGCAGGCAGTCCCTGATCTCTCCTCCAGGCAGAGAGAGGCTTTTACCTCTACCTTTCCAGGAAAAACAGAAGGTGCAGAGACTGAGCGAGTGAGCTGGGGATGACATGATGGAGCAAGCAAGCCCGGGACACAGTGACAGAACAAGCAAGCCAGGGAGAAGGGAAAACAAGGTCCCTTTGCCTCAGGACTTCACTCTGGGACATAAACAGGCTCATGCCACAGAAAGCGCCAGCAAAGGCTGAGCCATGGCAAAGCTCCTAGTGCAAGTGTGGGATGAGCATCTTCTCCCAGGCTTGACACACATGTGCCCCCACAGCCGAGCTGCATCCTGCCCTTCTTCCCAGCCCTGGTGCCTGGGAGCTGCCTCTCCCTGAGCTGTCCAGATGATGGCTCAGAGACAGGGTGCCAGGAAGCACCATGGCAGGGTATCCAGCATCAGTGGTCATGCATCCAGCACCAGCCTGCTCACCCACTAGTGGGAATGTGAGATCAGGTGGGGGCTGAGCCAACCCCTCCGTGGTTTTGGCCCTCACAGGTTTACGACATGGAACACACATTCTTCAGCCACGGCGAGAAGAAGAAGATTGTGATGGAGATCGATCCGCTGGCCAGGACGGAGACATTCAGGAGCGGGAATGGCAGCGAGGAAATCCTGGAGATCCATGACTTCAAAAACGTGAGTGCAGCAGGGTTTGTCCCTGGGACCCTTGCAGCAAGAACGGCAGGACCCCTTAGGACACTGTGGAGTCAGTGGAGCAAGCCACAGGACAATTTGCTTCTGCGTCAGGGAGAGCAATGCCCAGATGTAGACTCTCTAGGGACGCTCTCAAAAGAAAGGAGATGTGTATCTACATAAGCTTCCACCGGTGTTTAATAGTGGCGTGGTTCACTTCCAATGGAATACATCTTAAAAGCAAGACCTAGTTATTGGATTTACCCTTGCAAAGGAACACAATCATCATAAATCTATCTGAGCTCAGTACATTTGTCTGTCTGGAGAGCACTAAAACCTCATGACCATGTTGTAGGCTCTCTCTGAAACCTAATTAAAATTTGTAG